GCAGCAGCCAGCAGCAGCCAGCAGCAGCAGCAGCGAGCCATGTACAAAGTCAACGAATTTGTGGATGAGGGAGGGAGGCAGGCACTTTGTCAGTTCTCTCGAGAGCGTTCTCGGCGGCTTTCCGCAAAGGGTACAGAGGATCCATTTGAAGCTTGTAGTGGCAGAGAACGTTGCGCCGAGCATTCCCGAGTTGAAGCTCTCTCCTTGCTCTTGCGGTGGCTCGAGTTGCTGACCTGCTTGCTTACTGTGCTACTGTACTGTACCAGCTGGGCTAGCGTGAAGCCGAAGCTACAGTCACGAGTACCATTGGGCAGATCGACTCCCATGCAACTCACATGGCCGCTATACAGTACTCATCTGCACCCTGAAGCGAGCTAAAGGTCAGACAGACATCAAACTTCTCGCAGATGGACACAGCGCGGCGCTAGATTGTCGTCAGCAGCCACTTCTGAACGCAACTCGTGCGACTACTCCATGTGTTCGTGCCCTTATGGCTTGGCTCGCAGAGCGGTGCACACTCGTGACTCAAAAGAGTATGTAGAGCATGTGTCGCGTTGGCAAGAACGAGTCACGCAGGCGCCGTCATGCCGAGTACAGGAGGATGGCGGAACAGCAGCAGAGGGAACAGATTAGGTTGCATATATGCAGCACGCCGAAAAGGGTGCGCACGGAGCACAGCTGGCTGATGACAAGCGAAGAGCGCCGCTTTTGCTGGGGCTTTTTCAAGTCGTGAGTCTTCATCCCCTTCCAATCACGCAAGGCCGTGAGGAGAGGATGCTTGATTCGGAGGCAAAATGCGCTGTGACTGATAGAGCGCCACCCACCACACAGGGTCGGTCTGCTGCTGCTGCTGCTGCTGGCTCGTTGCTTTCCAATTAAGCATCTTAAGCATCAGCAGCAGGGTTTTGCTGGGCAGCGTGCTGCATGGACCTTCCAAGATCTGCTGCTGATGGGGACATTTTTGTCCACAGTCCACGCACATGCCCACTACACAGCTTAAATCGTACCAGTCAAGTTCCCAAGTGTTGGGGAGGTGAGATTGATGCGGGATCTCTGAGCGAATCAGTGCGCCATCTGATGAGTCTCTCCAATAGCCAATCACGGCGCCTCGCGGCAATCCGAATGTCCATGATGCACAGACATGGCGTAAGGCGATGCACATGGACATCCCGCTGGGCACCCTGCCAGTCAAAGTAGATACTGTAGTATCTGGGCCACTCTCGTCAAACGTTCCG